GAAGCAGTGCACTCCAATGCCTGTTCCTGTATACAGCGCAACACAGAACTCTGGCTAAAACATTACTTTTGTAACTAAACTACTTCACAATTCTGCGCTGTGAAACGAGTGACAAATCAGTCAGTCTCCTCAGAGAAAGCATCCGTGAATTTTGTGATATTCCAGCTGGAGGTGCAGAGTAACTGCAGAATGTTGTTCTCAATTTCATTCATTCCTATGGGGAAAGAGCCACAAACACGTTTGTAGGCTCCAGGGCCCTGAGGAGAGCTGCTTGTTTCTACTGCATGATTTGTGTTTCTAAGTGTGAGTTCTAAATGTTTAAGAGCCAGCAAAGCTCCAGCTTCTTTGGGAAGCAGGGCACTCCAATGTCTGTATCTGTATAGAGTACAACAGAGAACTCGGCCTAAAACTTCACTTTTTTAACTAAAGTACTTCACAGTTCCGCACTTTGAAAAGAGAGGCAAATCATTCAGTAACCTAACAGGAATCATCCGTGAAGTTTGTGACTTTCCAGCTGGAGGTGCAGAGAAACTACAGAAGGTTGTTCTCTCTCCCATTCATTCCTATGGGCAAACAGCCACAAACACTTTTTTAGACTCCATTACCCTGAGGAGAGCTGCTTGTTTCTACAGCATGATTTGTGCTTCTAAGTGTGAGATCTTAATACAGAAGAGCCAGGTATGCTCCAGCTTCTTTGGGAAGCAGGGCAGTCCAATGAATGTACCTGTATACAGCGCAACACAGAACTCTGGCTAAAACATCACTTTTGTAATTAAAGTACTTCACAGTTCTGCTCTGTGAAAAGAGTGGGAAATCATTCAGTCTCCTAAGAGAAAGCATCCGTGAAGTTTGTGACTTTAAAGCTGGAGCAGCAGAGAAACTGCAGAAGGTTTTTCTCTCTCCCATTCATTCCTATAGACAAAGAGTCACAAACACGTTTCTAGACTCCAGTGCCCTGAGGAGAGCTGCTTGTTTCTACTGCATGATTTGTGTTTCTAAGTGTGAGTTCTTAATGCAGAAGAGGCAGCTAAGCTCGAGCTTCTTTGGGAAGCAGGGCACTACAATGCCTGTTCCTGTATAAAGCGCAACACAGAAATCTGGCAGAAAAGTCACCTTTGTAACTAAAAACCTTCACAGTTTCCCCCTGTGAAAAGAGTGGCAAATAGTACACTCTCCAATGAGAAAACATTCAAGAAGTTTGTTACTTTCCTGGTGGAGGTGTACAGAAATGGTACAAGGTTGTTCTCTCTACATTTCATTCCTATATGCAAAGAATTACACACAAGTTTCTAAACTCCAGGGCCCTGAGGAGAGCTGCTTGTTTCTAATGCATGATATTTTTTCTCAGTGTGAATTCTTAATGCAGAAGAGCCAGCTAAGCTCCAGCTTTTTTCTGAAGCACGGCACTCCAGTACCTGTTCCTGTATATGTTGCAAAAGAAAACACTGGCTAAAACTTCACTCTTGTAACTAAAGTAATTCCCAGTTCCGCACTGTGAAAACAGTGGCAATTCATTCAGACTCCTTAGATAAAGCAACCGTTAAGTTTGTGATGTTCCAGCTGGTGGTACAGAGAAACTGAAGAAGGTTGTTCTCTCTCCAATTCATTCCTATGGGCAAAGTGCACAAGCACGTTTCTAGATTACCGGGCCCTGAGAAGAGATGCTTGTTTCTACTGCATGAATTATGTTTGTAAGTGTGAGTTCTCAATGCAGGAGAGCCAGCTACTCCAGCTTCTTTTGGAAGAAGAGCACTCAAATGCATGTTCCTGTATATGGCCTAACAGAGAACTGTGGCTAAAAAGTCACTTTTGTAACTAAAGTCCTTCACAGATCCGTGCTGTAAAAACAGTAGTTAGTCATTCAGTCTGCTAAGAGAAAGCATCCGTGAATTTTGTGACTTTCCAGACAGAGGTGCACAGAAATGGCAGAAGGTTTTTCTCCCTCCCATTTATTCCTATGGGCAAAGAGACACAAATACATTTCTAGACTGCCATTCCCTGAGGAGAGCTGCTTGTTTCTACTGCATGATTGGTGTTTCTAAGTGTGAGATCGTAATGCAGAAGAGCACGCTAAGCTCCATCTTCTTTGGGAAGCCGGGCACTCCAATGCCTGTTCCTGTATACAGCGCAACACAGAACTCTGGCTAAAACGTCATTTTTGTAACTAAAGTACTTCACAGTTCTGTGTTATGAAAAGAGTGGCAAATCATTCAGTCTCCTAAGAGAAAGCATCCGTGAAGTTTGTGACATTCCAGCTGCTGGTGCAGCAAACCTGCAGAACGTACTTCTCTCTCTGATTCATTCCTAATGTCAAAGAGCAAAAAACATGTTTCTAGACCCAGTGCCCTGAAAAGAGATTCTCATTACTACTGCGTGTTTTGTGTTTCTAAGTGTGAGTTCTTAATGCACAAGACCCAGCTAAGCTCAACCTTCTTTAGGAAGCAGGGAACTCCACTGCCTGTTCCTGTATACGACGCAACACTGATCTCTGAGTACAACATAACTTTTGTAACTAAAGTAGTTCACCATTCCACTCTCTAAAAACAGTGCAACATCATTCAGTCTCTTAAGTGTAAGTATCCATGAAGTTAGTGACTTTCCAGCGTGATGTTCAATAGAAACAGCAAAAGGTTGTTCTCTCTGCCATTCATTCTTAGGGGAAAGAGTCACAAACACGTTTCTGGACTCCAGTGCCATGAGGAGAGCTGCTTATTTCTACTCCATGATTTGTGTTTCTAAGTTTGAGTTCCTAATGCAGAAGAGCTAGGTAAGCTAAAGCTTCCTTAGAAAGCAGGGCACTCCAGTACCTGTACTTGTATACAGCGCAACACAAAACTCTGGCTGAAACGTCACTTTTGCAACTAAGTACATCACAGTTCTGCAGTGTGAAAAGAGTGGCAAATAATTCATTCTCCTATCAGAAAGCATCTGTGAAGTTGGTGACTTTCCAGCTGTAGGTGCAGAGAATCTGCAGAAGGTTGTTCTCTCTCACATTCATTCCTATGAGCAAAGAGATACAAACTAGTTTCTAGTCTCCAGTGCCCTGATGAGAGCTGCTTTATTCTATTGCACGATTTGTGTTTCTAAGTGTGAGTTTTTAATGCATAAGAGCCAGCTAAGCTCTACCCTCTATGGGAATCAGTGAACTCCAATACATGTTCTTGTATAAGTCGTAACACAGAACTCTGGCTGAAATGTAACATTTTAAATGAAGTACTTCACAGTTTCTCTCTATGAAAGAGTGGCAATTCATTCAGTCTCATAAGAGAAAGCATCTGTGAATTTCTGACTTTCCAGTGGGAGGTGCACAAAAATTGCAGAATGTTGTTCTCTCTTCCTTTCATTCTTATGGGAAAAGAGCCACAAACACTTTGCTAGACTCCAGTGCCCTGAGGAGAGCTACTTGTTTCTACTGCTTGATTTGTGTTTCTAAGTATGAGTTCTTAATGCAGAATTGCCAGCTAAGCTCCACTTTCTTAGGGAAGTAAGGCACACCAATACCTGTTTATGTATAATGTGCAAAACAGAACTCTGGCTAACACTTCACTACTGTAACTAAACAACTTTACAGTTCCACGCTGTGAAAACAATCAAATCCTTCAGTCTCCTGGCAGAAAACATCCGTGAACTTTGTGACTTTCCACCTGGAGGTGCAGAGAAACTGCAGAAGTTTTTTCTCTCTCCATTTCATTCCTAAGGGCAACGAGCTACAAACCCGTTTCTAGATTCCACTGCCCTGAGGACAGCTCCTTTTTTCTACAGCATGATTTGCGATTCTAAGTGTGAGTTATTAGTGCAGAGGAGCCACCTAAGCTCCAGCTCCTTTGGGAAGCAGGACAATCCAATACATGTACCTATATGAAGCGCAACAGACAACTGTGGCTAAAACTTCACTTTTGTCAATAAAGTGCTTCACAGTTCTGCGCTGTGAAAACTATTGAAAATCATTCAGTATCCTAAGAGAAAGCATCTGTGACATTTGTGACTTTCCAGCGGGAGGTGCACAGAAACTGCAGAAGGTTGTTGTCTCTCGCATTTATTACTATGGGCAAAGAGCCACAAACATGTTTCTAGGCTCCATTGCCCTGAGGAGAGCTGCTGCTTTCTACTCTATTATTTGTGTTTCTAAATGTGAGTTCATAATGCAAAAGAGCCACATAAAATTCAGCTTCTTTGGCAAGCAGGGCACTCCAATGCCTGTTCCTGTATACAGCGCAACACAGAACTCTGGCTAAAACCTCACCTTTGTAAATAAAGTCCTTCACAATTCTGTGCTTTGAAAACAGTGGCAAATTTTTCACTCTACTAAGAGAAAGCATCCGTGACATTTGTGCCTTTCCAGCTGGAGTTGCAGCAAAACTGCAGAAGGTTGTTCACTCTGCCTTTCATTCTTATGGGCAAAATGCTACAAACTCTTTTATACAGTCAAGAACAAGGAGGAGATCTGCTTGTTTTGACTAAATGATTTGTGTTTCTTACTGTGAGTTCTTAATGATGATGAGCCAGCTAAGCTCCAGCTTCTTGGGAAAGCAGGGCACTCCAATGCCTGTTCCTCTATACAGCGCAACAAAGAACACTGACTAAAATTTCACTTTTGTTACTAAAGGCCTTAACAGTTTGGCGCTGTTCAAAGAGAGCCAAATCATTCAGTCTCCTAAGAGAAAGCATCCATGAACTTTGTTACTTTCCAGCTGTAGTTCCAGAGATACTGCCGAAGGTTGTTCTCTGTAACATTCACTCCTATGGGCAAAGAGCCACAAACACGTTTGTAGACTCTAGTGCCCTGAGGAGAGCTGCTTGATTTCTACTGCTAGATTTGTGTTTCTAAATGTGAGTTCTTAATGCAGAAGAGCCAGCTAATCCCATATTCTTTGGGAAGCAGCGCACTCCAGTGCGTGTTCCTGTATACAGTTCAACACAGAACTCTAGCTAAAACTTCACTTTTGTAGCTAAATACCTTCACATTTCCACTCTGTGAACACAGTGGCAAATCATGCAGACCCTGAAGAGAAAGCATCTGTGAAGTTTGTGACTTTCGACATGGAGGTGCAGAGAAACTGCTGAAGGTTGAACTGTCTCCCTTTCATTCCTATTGGCAAAGAGTCACAAACTCATCTCTAGATTCCAGTGTCCTGAAGAGAGCTACTTATTTCTACTGCATGGTTTGTGTGTTTAAGTGTGAGTTCTTGATAGAGAAGATCTGCAGAAGGTTGTTCTCTCTCCCATTCATTCCTATGGGCAAAGAGCCTTAAACATGTTTGTAGACTGCAGTGCCCTGAGGAGAGCTGCTTGTTTCTACAGCAAGATTTGTGTTTCTAAGTCTGAGTTCTCAATGTAGAAGAGCCAGCTAAGGTCCAGCTTCTTTGGAAAGCAGTGCACTCCAATGCCTGTTCCTGTATATGGCACAACACAGAACTCTGGCTAGAACCTCACTAATCTAACTAAAGTACGTCACTATTCTGAGCTATGAAATCATTTGCAAATCATAAAGTCTCCTGAGAGGAAGAATCCATGAAGTTTTTGACTTTCCAGCTGAAGGTGCGCAGAAACTGCAGAAGGTTGTACTCTCTCCCATTCATTTCTAATGGTAAAGAGCCTCAAACAGGTTTGTAGACTCCAGTGTCCAAAGAGTGCTGCTTCTTTCTACTGCTTGATTTGTGTTTCTACGTGTTTGTTTATAATTTAGAAGAGCCAGCTAAGCTCCAGCTACTTTGGGAAGCAGGGCACTCCAATGCTTGCACCTCTATAGTACGCAAAACAGAACTCTTGGTAAAACATCACTTTTTTAACTAGAGTGCTTCACAGTTCCTCGCTGTGAAAAAAGTGGCACATCAATCAGTCACCTAAGAGAAAGCATCATTGAAGTTTGTGACTTTCCACCTGGATGTGCAGAGAAATTCCAGAAGGTTTTTCTCTCTCCCATTCATTCCTATGACATAGAGCCACAAACACCTTTCTAGATTGCAGTGTCATGTGTAGAGGTGCTTTTTTCTCATGCATGTTTTTTTTTTTGTAGTAGTGTGTTCTTATTGTAGAAGAGCCAGCTATGCGCCAACTTCTTTGGGAAGGAAGGCAATCCAATGCCTGTTCCTATATACGGCGCAA